CAGCAGGTTGGGTTTTTTCCAGAACCTTATTCAACACTAAATCTATGTTTGCGAGAAGCCATGGGCACGATGTGTGCCCTTCCTCAGACCCTGCTCCTTGTACTTAGCCCAGCAGTACGAGTGTCCTATGTCCTGCACTGAACAGCGTGAACCAGCCGAGACCGTGGGGGGAAATACCCTCTCACACAAATTGTTCATTCTTAATTTAGGGAGGAAGACACCTGTTTTCTGTTATCCTTACTTGGAACAGTTGTGTCCCACAAAGTATAAATTAGAGCAGCTTTTTGGAATTAATTATTTAATAAACAAGTACTTTAGGAACTGGTCCTTCAAGGCCAGATAACAAATAAAGAACTGCTTGTTTACTTTTAATATAAAATAAGTATTAAATAAAATACCCATCAGTTTACAGTTGGAAGTACTACGGGCAACCCATGGCGTCTGGGTTTGGTTTTTTTTAGCATAGACCAATACTGCTACAGCTACTACTTTTATCCCACATACCTGAAAAAAACTGTACAATTTCTTCTTTACTACAGCCAAATGGGAGTCCTCTAAGACGTACAAAACCATCATTAGCAGTATCAGGGCTGTTGGGACCAGTATGCTTCAGAACCCAATCCATTTCAACGTTGTTTGACTTGAAAACTGTAAAAGGCACTTAGAATTAATGCATTCTGGAATGCGCAACGGTTTTAAAACTCACTTGCCTTGAAACTACTCAACTTATGACACACAAGTCCATTGTCCCTTCACATGCATTTTAAAGAGACAGAAAAACATTAAACCAAAAACCCATCGAGCACGAACACATTTAGTCAGTTACTAGACCAACTGAGGCAAACCTTCAACATATCTGTGTCCCATTGTTTCTCTGTCTTTTTTCAGTGCCAATTTCACATCCTCCTCTGATTCAAGTTCAGCAAATGCTTCTCCACTTGGTCTGCCCTCCCTGGTGTAGATGAAACGAATGCCCAAAGCCCCATTTAGAATTTTGCAATCTGAAAATAAAACAGGAAGGCCAGAATTAATTTAATTGTTACTGGAAAATTATGACTTCAGATGTTTCACATATTCTAGAAGGAAAAAAAAAAAGTTATATCAAAAATGCCCCTTCCCTGGAAGCGTTCAAGGCCAGGTTGAATGGAGGTCTGAGCAATCTCATGCAGTGGAAGGTGTCCCTGCCCGCAGCAGAGAGGTTGGACCTTTAAGGTTCCTTCAAACCCAAATCATTCTATGAAGAGTACCAGCAGTATTCTTGACCAATAAACTAAGGGACTAACTAAAACCGTATTACGCCCTTCTTGTTAAGTCTGAAAATTAGCAAAACATTAAGGATAAATGCAAATTAACTATCTACTTTCAAAGCATTGCTGCCTCAGGTCAAGGTGAATGTGGTATCTGCTTATAACTGTGACTGACTTAAACCTTCTTATCAGCAAGAAGTGAAATAAGGAGTAGGAACAATCGGTGTAATGAACTAAATCAGAATCAAGTTCAATATGCCAAACTCCTGAAGCAGCTTTGAAGTCTCCAGCCACTGAAGAAAGCATGTATTTGTGACCACTATTTATTACTGTAGAATGCTAATACTCTGGGGGAAGGACATGACATGCTGAATGTTAAACACAAGAGAGCCTATTAGGACAACATCAAGAACTAAACTGACTTAGTTCAATTTGAAGCAAGAATTTTGGGGTTTTCTTTAAAATGGAAGCTTTTCTCTTCCATCTGCTCAAGAAGCTAAGGCAGTTGTGCCTGTCCCAGCAACTCACAGACCATGCATAGTTCCTGCTAGCACAACATAGCTTTCCACGCTGCATCCCAGCTGAGGCACTTGTTACATTACAGACTTCACTGGGTACTGACATGCCCTGAACCATTCCCACCACCAGCATTCCCAGGAGGAATCCAGAACTGACAACAGAGCCCAGCCCCTCTCCCGACCCCTAAAGCCCCCAGTTCTGCTTACCAGAGAAAAACCTCTGCACTTCCTCGGTGGAGCAGGACCAAGGCAGCCCTCTGACTTTCACCACATATCCCTCGCTGCTCTCCGTGTTGAGCATCACATTGGGGGTCAGGCTCTGCTCCGTCTCTGCTTCCGTGGTGGCTGGAGAAGACCAAAGCAAGCCCTGTGAGATGCCGCACAGCACGGCCGCCACCCGCACCCCCTCAGAGCGCCCG